CCCATCAGCGAGGAAGCTTCAACTTTAAAATGAGTGAGATGCTCTCTAAACTGAAGGTTGGGAAAGCTGTGGGCATATCCCTGCTCAACTACTGAAGATGGGTTAAACCAATGCACACTGCCCTGACTGATATATGCCAGTCTGCATAGTCATACTTCTATGCTAGGACTGTAGCAAATGCATGGCAATACACTGTTCAGTATACCAGGCAAGGTTTTCACCCACAGTCTCCTGAAATGGACCACCTACTAAGGCACCGGAGACCGTAGCAGCATGGATTCTCTCCTGGAAAGTCTACAATAGAAAGCATCCTAGGGCTTCCAGTCATTGTGGAATAATGTTGTGAGTTTGGTTGAGGGCTGCTTGGAGCCTACATCAACCTCAAGGTATTTGACTCAATGCATTGCAAACCGTTAAAAGAAATCTTGAGTCTTAGGAGAATTCCAACAAGAATTATTGGTTTTATAGGAAACCTACATACTGGTACTGAAAGTCCTGGTGTGTGGTGGAGGCCTGTCGAGCTTTCCTGTTAACTCAGTAGTGAGGCAAGGCTATTTCCTTGCAACAACACTTTTCAATACTTGCATGGACTGGATAATGGGCAGAGTTACTATCCAAAGTCACTGTTGAGCAATATTAGGCAATATCAATGTCATGAACCTTGATTTTGCTGACGATATTACTTTCCTATCTGAGCCTCTGGAATCTCTGGTGGTGGCTCTTGATGAATTCAACAGTGAGGCAAAGCCCTTAGGCCTAGAAGTCTCCTGAACTAAAACTAAGATCCAGAATTTTAGAGACCTGTTAGGGGAAGTTGTTCAGTTGATACATGCTTGTGGAGAGGACATTTAAGTCGTAAATAACTTTATATACCTTGGTAGCACAGTCCTTGTCTCTGGGCTGTCAAACCAGGAAGTCAATAGACGGATTGTCCCGTAGCAAAAACAATAAATTCTGTCAACAAGAGCACTTTGAGATGATAAAACCTATGCAGGACCAAGCTACTTGTCTTTATGGCAGATGGTTTTGCATCTACTGTCTATTATCTCTGGGGAGTGGTTGTTGTGGGAGTGAGTTCCCACAGGTATGGCTGGATGCTGGAGGTGAGTGGAGATCGACAGGGGAGCCAGTGAAGCTCACCGACAATGAAGGACTGGGCAGGCCTTGTGTTGCTGCTGTAGGGGGAAGCTAATCTCGGCCGGATGCTGGAGCTTAAGGCCTGTTAAGCTGTGCCATCTATCCAGGAACGAGGGGAACCTGTTGTCCAATGAGCGCCATGAGGTGTCCGTGTCATCCAATCAGGTTTCAGCAGTGAATCATCAAGAAGCAGCTGATAGTGAGGTGCGACTATGGACCTGCGTGAACCAACCTGTGGAACTATGCCGAGCTACAGGTTGCAGGGTCGTTGCTACATCAAGGCCTTGATCCTACCAGTTTTGCTCTATGGAAGGGAAACCTGGGGCAATCTAGTGCCTTGGAGGCATATCTCTACAGTAGATAATTCGGTAAAGTTGGCATACGCCCAAGTGAAACTGTTAGGACAGTTGTTACTTGCATAATCTAGGACCACCAACTCAGGCTATACAGGCACTTAGCACGTTTCCCTGTAGATGACCCTGCCCATCAGGGTGTCTCTATGAGATAATCCTGGTGGAGTAGGCTTGAGGGAGAATCTAGGGTGCCGTGGCTTGGGCAGATCGACCAGACTTGTTGTGAGGAGCTAGAGATACGGTTGTGGGCCTATCTAGTGACTCGCCACAAAGGGCCCCTTGTGGCTGGAAACAAAGGATGGATGTGCATATGCACCCACGTCGGCGTTAACCCCACTGATTGACTAGTTGTACACACATATATTAATATGATTAATGTTTTGCCCTCGTACCCAATACCAATACTGAATTGATCTGACTGATCATTTTCTGATCATCTGGTGACAATAATTTTCTTCACACAGGAAATGGCTTTTCAGATTTTAAAAACTACAGCAAAGATTACAATGCTTCATCTCCTACTTGTCCAATAATATTCATGACTAATAAGTATAGTAAATTCAATAGTTGGGCATCGTCGCCTGCAGACTTTCATCAGATTACAGGAAATGTAATAAATCATAAAAGACATTTAGGGCATCTTCTGGACGTGCCATAAAAGTTAATCCAGTATTAAAGTTTAATCCAGATCTCTAGTGCGCATGCGCGTTGGCAGCGACCAGGATCAACTTTTAATACACCTCTGGACCGGGCTTTAATTTTAAGCACATTTTTAAATCCTGCACATACGCAGAAGGGACAAGTTAATCCCATCAATCATGTACTGTTACGTCACGTGCCCGTCATGAACTTCACGGATACCATCGCTTGAGTTGCCATTTAGTTATTTTCGGCAATAACATCGATCATCTTAGAATTTTCATACTTGATATTTATTTCGAAAATGAAATTGTATATATTTAGACAAATGAACAAATATTCTGGTAAAGGAAATAACTTATGGTAATGAA